CCTTGAACCTCAATTATCCCCATATCTTAAGTGAAGAGTAGTAATAATAGTTCGCCTTTCTAGTTTGGCTTAAGGAATGGTAAAAGTCCGTACAGCGGAGTGTTCCCCACATTCCGGAAGTCTTTGCTCCACCCCGTGGCGAAGACCCAGGTGGGTCCTCAGTGGGGCGGTACTGCCTGCCCAGGTCAGGTCCCTAACCCCGTCCTGGCGGAAGGCCCCGCCCCAGCCTTCAGGTCCGCCCGGGCTCAGCCTCAGAGGCAGAGGGGACGCAGGAGCTAGCACTGGAGAACGCTTGGGAGGAGCGAGCGATGTTTGTCTGGCCGGGTCTGCTCCAGGGGCTGGAGAAACGGGCTCCCTATGACCGCGGCACCTGGGCCCGGCGGGCTGGAAGTGGGCCCGCAGGGTATCCCGTCGGAGTTGGGAAGATCTGCGTAAACTCGAGGAGCCTGGAGCCCGGCGAGACCGAACACCGCAGCCCGGCCGCACCGGGCTTCTGCAGCCTCGTTACCTTCCTCGCTGAAGGGCGCTGGGAGGCCCAGGAAGCCGCCGGGGGACAAGGCCGCCGCTGCCGCCGCAACCCCGCCCTCGCCCGCTTCACGCCCGGCTTCGGCCCGAGCTTCTGCCGTATGAGCGGCCGTCACCCGCACTGCCATCGCGCCCTCCATGTCGCAACGCGCCGCAGGAAGATGGCGGATTTACGACCATGTCGTCATAACAACGGGCCGCACCGAGGGCTGCGTGTAGGGCAGGCAGGGGGCGGGACGAATTTGACGGACAGGCAGGGGGCGGGACAAGGACGAGTTTGACGGACAGGCAGGGAACCGCAGGTCGTGCCCTAGAGCTTCAGCGGAGGTGGAGCCTCTGGAGCGGGACCGGAGGGCGCCAGTGGGCGTGGTTGTGCTAAATTGGCAGGACTTCGGCGGGGGTGAACCATCCGTGGACTAAAGAATCTGAACTCTCTCACGCTTCCTTTTTTTAATGTGTAAGGATATTTTGTCTGCATATATGTCTGTGCATCATACACATGCCTGGCGCCCGCAGATGCGGAAAGGGGGTGTCTGATCTCCTGGAACTGGAATTACAGATGGGGTTAATGTAGGTGTTGGGAATTGAACCTAGGTTATTCTGGAAGAACAGCCGGTGTGCTCTCAGCCGCTGGGAGAATCTGAACTCTTTAGGGTCGCTACCCAGTGTAGAATCCTGGGCTTAGACCAAGACTGCAATGTTAGAATCCCCTGATGATTACTCTGATCATGAAAAAACAACTCCAGTTGAAGATAGTTCGTGTGCTCATTTTCAAAGACTTGTTCTTTCACATAGTTTTTAAATTTTGAAAAGTACACATAAAAATAGCCATTTGTGACATTTAGTATACTGACAATGTTGAGCGCTTATCAACAAAATTTAGTTCCAAAATTGGCTAATTGGTTGGTTGGTTGGTTTGGGACAGGGTCTGGCTTTTGTAGCTCACAGTGGCCAGTACCTCAGTGCTGTAAATATTCCTGGATTAGTTCCAAAACATTTTCATCATCTGTAGCTCACTTTGGTAGACAAAGTGCTGGCTTCACTACCTATCACTGCATAAAAATGAGCAGAGTGGCTCAGGCCTGTAATTCCAGCAGTTAGGAGAAGTGGAGGCAAGAAGATCACAAGTTCATGACCATCCTTAGCTAAATAGGGAGTTCAAGGCCAGCCTGGGACAAAAGACACCGTTCCAAGAGAGAGAAAATGACTGAGTAATATCACAATTTATGAACAATGCACTTCATGTCATTCATCACATTTACTTGCTTTTATCTTTTTGGCTATTATGAACAGTGTTGCTCTGAACACTCTTACGTAAGCTGCTTTTATAGTTTTGTATTGTTTCCACACTCCTTTCATTTTAATAAAGGTGATTTTTAAGTATCTTCTCTGAAACTATTTTGTTAGATTAATCCTCTTAAGCTAGCAATCATGGACTGGAGAGATGGCTCAGCGGTTAAGAGCACTGGCTGCTCTTCCAGAGGTCCTGAGTTCAATTCTCAGCAACCACATGGTGGCTCATAACCATCTATATTAGGATCTGAGGCCCTTTTCTGGCATGCAAGTGTACAGGCAGGCAGAGCACTCATATATACAAAATAAAAAAAATACTGATTGAAAAAAAAAAGATAGCAATCACTATCTGGTGAGACAGCTGTCACCTGCCACCTGCCACCAAGCCTAACAACCTGAGTGCAATCCCCAGGACCCACAAAGAGGAAGTTGGCCTCTGAACTTCACCTGCACCCTGTGACATACAAGCACCATACACATATACAACATTCACTTGTGTGCACACACACACTAAAATGTAAGTGTTTTTTGTTTTAAGATGCCAATCATCAGATGGCTCATGAGGGAAAAGCACTTCCCTCCTAGGCAGATGGCCTGGGTTCAGTCCCTGGGACCCACATGATGGAAGGAGAGAACCAGCTTCCATGAACTGTACTCTGACCTCCACACATGCCATGGCACTCACAAGCCACACACACACACACACACACACACATACACAAATAAGTAAATGAATAAATGTAGTTCTTAAAACTTCAGAAGCATATAATACTAACAAAAGCTCTGAAAAGAGCCAGGCACAGTGGTGCATACCTGTAATCCCAGCACCCAGGGAGGCAGGCTGATTGCTGTGAGTTCGAGGCCAGTCTGGTCTAAAAAGCCAGGACAGCCAAGGCTACACAGAGAAACCTTGTCTCGAAACAACAAAAATCTCTGCAGGAAAGAAGTTTGATCCAGGTACTGTGTCTCTTGACTGTTCCTTCCAGGCCACACTGAGGTGATGAATGCATGCATGTACACCCGACACACTAATAATAAATACATATATAATTTTAAAATTTCTAAGAGAGTTAAAGAAGCTGGGTCGGCAGGCAGATCTCTGTGAATTCAAGATAGCCTGGTCTACAGGACAGCCAGGGCTACACAGAGAAACCCTGTCTCCAAAAGCCAAAAAGAGAGAAAGAGTTAAAGGGCTAAGGGTTAAAGAGAGCTGCTCAGTGGTTAAAAGCACTGTTTAGGGCTTTTAAGATGTGGTGGTGCACATCTTTAACCTCTGTGAGTCCTGGTCTACAGAGTGAGTCTAGGACAGCCAGGGCTCCATTACACAGAGAAACTGTCTCAAAAATGAAAGTGCTGGTTATTCTTCCAGAGGACAGGGATCTGAACACCAGAACCCACATAACCTCTAACAACCACCTGTAACCCCACTTCTATGGGATCTAATGCCCTCTTTTGTCCCTCTCCCCTCCCCTGTCACCACACATATAAGTGTTACACAAAATATTTAGATCAGGCTGGCCTCAAAATCTCAAGAGATTCACAGGTCTCTATTTCTTGAGTGCTGGGATTAAAGGATGAGCCACTATGTACTTTGCCTGGCTTGGCAAACTTATTTTATTAGGATAAAGGCGAATAGAAAATATGTTAACATAGATACAAAAGCTCAGCAAACATTTTCTGTAAAGGAGGGATGATTGGCTTTCTTTTAAAATGTTTTATTTTTATTTATATAGATTTATTATTTTGTGTGTATGAGTGTTCTGCACCTCATGCCTGCCTGATGCCCACACAGGTGGTCAGTTTCCATGTGGGTTCTGGGAATCAAACCTGGGCCCTTTGCAAGAACAGGTGCTCCTAACCAGTGAGCCAACTCCCCAGCCCCAAAAGGTTTTATTTTGTGTGTGTGGGTGTTTTGCCTGTATGTATGTTTATACACATTTATGCAGTACCCACAATGGCCAGAAGAGGGTTCCTACTTTAGGGATCTGGAGTTACAGATGGTTGTTAGCTGTCATGTGGGTTCTAGAATTCAACCACCCCCACCACCCCTTCCTCTGGAAGAACCACCAGTGTTCTTAACCACTAAGCCATATCTCTAGCCCTAAGCCTGGTCCACATAGAGTTCTAAGCCAGCCAGGACTTCCTAGTGAGACCCTGTCTGAAAACAAATTAGATAAAACAAATTATCACCCTACAAGATTTGTTCAAAGATAATCTATTGTCTCCATTTTGTTCTATTTTCTTTTTTTAATGATTTATTTTTATGTGCATTAGTGTTTTGTTTTGTTTTTTATTTTGGTTTTCTGTTTTGTTTTGCCTGCACACATGTCTGTGTGAGGGTGTCAGACCCCCTGGAACTGGAGTTACAGACAGTTGTGAGCTGCCATGTGGGTGCTGGGAATTGAACCTGAGTGTTCTGGAAGAGCTTTGAGTGCTCTTACCACTGAGCCATCTCTCCAGTTCCTTGTTTTCTTCTCTCTTTCTGTTTTTCGAGACAGGGTTTCTCTGTATAGCTGTGGCTGGACTCACTTTGTAGAACAAGCTGGCCTAGAACTCATAGAGATCTGCCTGCCTCTGCCTCCTCCTGAGTGCTGAGAACAAAGATGTGTACTACCAAGCCCAGTTTTTGTTGTTTTGTTTTAAGTACAAGGCTAGAGAGCTTTCAGGGGAGAAATGGGCCCAGAATCCTGGAATACTTCCCTCAGAGATATACTGAAAAGGAACTGAAAAGCCAGCATCCAGGGGATATCAGAGTGAAGAATGTTTAGAGAGGAACTAGGGATGCCCACCTATACTTCTCGCACTTGGGAGGCTGAGGCCAGTGGATCACCATGAATTTGAAGCTACACAATAATGAGTTTACCAGCCTGGATTACATAAGAAACCCCTATCTAAGCCAGGCGGTGGTGGTGCACACGCATTCGGGAGGCAGAAGCAGGCAGATCTTTGTGAGCTGGAGGCTAGCCAGGCCTACAGAGCAGTTCCAGGACAGTCAGGGCTATTACAGAGAAACCCTGACTCGAGTTAAAAAAAGAAAAAAAGAAAAAAAAAAAAGCCTCTACCTCACAAAAGAAACAACTAAGGGAGGAGATATTGAAATAAAAAGCCAAAGGGACATGACTTGGGTGCACGTGTTATGCCCAGATAGTGAGACCCCCCCAAAAGATGACCTGGAACAGGAATCCAATGCAAACACATGAGGGCTTTATTCAAGCTCGATCGTCCCTGACACAGCAGTTCAGAAAGAGCGGCTCTGAGTCTCAGGAGGGCAGAGTTTTTAAAGGAAGAAACCACAAGCTTTGGTATTACAGGACTGGGTAAAGCTGGGTAAGGGTTCAGTAAGCAAGGTGTCCTTTAAGCTGATTGGTTCAGGTCATTTGTCCAAACCTAAAGGGGGAACAGGTTATTTTAAAAATGTCTGATCCTTATTGCAGTTATTCATTAACACATTCTGCAGCATTTACTGGAACTGGCTGGGTGGAGGGCCTGCGGTATTTACTGGAACCCGGGGGGGGGGGTCATCTTGAGGACAATCAACCTCAAGATGGAGTCTGAGGAACAAAATGGAGTTACTTTTAACTTCTTCATTCCCCCCTCTTCTGATAACTAGAGAGGCCAATCTGGGCTCCTCAGAGATCTGATAGCTGAGTATTGAGTTGTTGATATTGGTACCTCAATACCATTAACTAAATAGTTCCCAATCTTTGTCTTATACATTGAAATAGCTTATTAAGAATGCAAGGCCAAAGGTTAATAGCAATAGCAGAATGAGGAGAGATCCTGTTATGGTGGAAACCAATGTTGTTAACCAGGAGGAAGCATTAAACTTTTGATTCCATTGACTGGAATCAACTTTGGGATTGTTCCCATTCAGTTTTTCTCTTTTCTAGGCCTTCTTGTACTTTGGCCATAGAATCTTTAACTATGCCTGAGTAATCCATGTAAAAACAGCATTCTTCCCTAAGGACTGCACAAAGGCCCCCTTGCTGTAGAAATAAGAGGTCTAATCCTCTTCTATTTAGTAATACAACTTCAGCCAAAGAGGATAAGGAGTCCTGCAAGTGGGAGATGACAGTCTCTAATCTACTGACGTCCTCATCTAAAGACTCCCTAAGCTGCCTATAATGTTGATCCTGGAGTACCAAGGAAGAGATTCCTGTTCCAACCCCTGCAGCCCCCAACCCCAGGATGACAGCCAACGTTAGGGTAGAGATGGGCTCCCTCTTTGTTCTGAAATGCAGGTCTATTAGGGTTGAGGGGGAGTCCCAGAAGGAGGCAAAGTCTTCTCCACTGTGGGGGTTAGCACCAAGATACAGAACTGGCCAGGGAACTGTAACAACTGGCCGAGGGCACAGGGAGTCAATCCTGTTGAACAAGCCCACCAGATACTGGCGGGAGGGATCGGAAACTTAGTCTTCTCAGAATCAGTGAGATCCTGGGTTAGATTACAAAACTTTATATTCCTTGGCAACATCACCTGTGCACGTCCCTGTTCCCTGGCCTGTAACTGACTGGAGTGTGAGTCTGGCCATGGAGGGTTGCTGCCATCTACATAGACTATGGTTATCAGAGGAAATATATAGTTTCCCATGGTGTGACACCATCGTAATAGGGAGGTTCTGTATTGTAGCATAACCAACAGGACTGGGTTAAATCAGGCCTACATCTGTTAATGGCTTGGTAAGTATGTACCATGAGATCCCACAAGAGATCAGAATTGGTGTCCTGGGTGGGCAAATGGTTAGGAGAAGTGGTCACGGGTCTTGTAGGGCCCTTGAATGTAGGAGCTGGTTTAAGTTCGGGCATGACCATTTTGTGGGGCCCTTAGATATAGAAGCTAGTTTGGGTGCTAAGACTGGATTTGGTCCTAGTCTCTGAGGGCTGGTCAGGACTAGATTTATGGAGAACCTTGATGACTCCTCCATCATCGTATCCGTGTTTGTGCAGTTGGATATCAAAGTTTTTACCTTTTTCCCAATTGTAAGATTTTCCTAGCTAAGTAAAAGTCACCTTGAGTTGGTTACAAGGCTGCTTGGCTTCCTTTGGTTGAATAACTCCCACATAATCACAGTTTGATTCAAGATCCCTCTAGAAAGCTACTAAGGCCTCTGGCCTTGGTTGATGAAGCCAGGGGCTCTGAGTTTTACATCCCCTACTAGCACAGAAATAGTCCCCAGACAAATGACCACATTTATGCTTCCACCAAGGTAGGCCATCATAAGTTGAAGGACACACATAGTAAAGGACCTTTCTTACCCTCAGCCACCATCCATTGGGGATGATTTTTAAGAGATCAAAGCTAAGCTTGGGAAACCAGGTTCTGTGGGGAACCACCTTTGAGACTCTAGTAATAACTGTTCCATAGTCATCCTTAAGCCTCCAGGTATGGTTGTCAAGGGTATGCCGGTTCTGGTCAGCAGTACATACAGTTAGAAGTCCTGAGAGGGCTAAGATCTGGAAAACTTGAGCTTTAAAGGGTTGTTTCCACGGTAAACTGTCCATTCTAGAGCTGTAGGATTCAGACAGTCCCCTTTGGTGGAGAACGGGTTAGCTGGTCTGGCGTAGTGTAATGTATCCATGCAGCGATCCCATCCACCTTAAGAGCTGTTGGTGTGGTCAGCAGAATGATGTGAGGCCCTCTCCATCTGGGCTTGAGTGTGCCTTGGCGAAACCTCCTCATGTAGACCCAGTCTCCTGGTCAGAACTTATGTGGTTCTGGAACTGGGCCTGCTTCATAAAGGGTACACAATTTAGGCCAAACAAGTTTATGAGCCCATTGGGTTGCTTTGACTCCAAATAGTAAGTCATCATCTTCTAGTTCTGCAATAGCTGCCAACTGCAGGTTAGGCACAATGGGAGCTGGAACACCATACATGATCTCAAAAGGGGTGAGCCCCATCTGGTAAGGAGAATTCCTCACCTGATAGAGGGCAAAGGAAGAAGCATCACTCAGCCCCTGCCAGTCTCTAAGGTCAATTTAGTCAAGGTCTCTTTTAACAGTCTATTCATTCTGTCTACCTGTCCTGAGCTCTGGGGTCTGTAAGCACAATGCAGTTTCCAATCTGCCCCAGTAAACCTTACTATGTCCTGACTTAGCTTGGACACAAATGCCGGTCCATTGTCTGTGAGGAAAGCCATACCTGGGTAAGATATTTTCCAAAACCTTCTTGGCTACTACCTTCGCAGTCTCAGTCTTAGTCGGGAATGCCTCTGTCCATCCAGAGAAGGTATCCATGAAAACTAGCAGATACTTACATATTTTCCTGGCTTGATTTCTGTAAAATCAGTTTCCCAACAGGCCCCCAGTCTCTTACGTCGTGGTAAGAGCCTGGTTGTTTGGGATTGTTAGAGGCATTAGTTAGATGGCAAACTTTACAATCTGTCACAGTATCTTCTAGAATGCACACTTTTGAAAGTCACTTTAGATTGTCTGACCACGTCTGCCGTTCTTCTGATGCCCATCTGGGTGACTCTTTGAATTTTCCTAAGAATGGTCCCTCCTGAAGAGTTAGGTATAATTAGCTTACCTTCAGCTGATTGCCACCAGCCCTCCAAACATTGACTCATGGACAGACTCTTAGCCCATTTAATTTCCTCCTCTGTATAGACCAGTTGTTCTGGAAGGTTGGGATTGGGTGGTTCAGAAGAACAGTGGTTAGTACAGAAAAAACAGTCTCTTGTAGGGCGGCCTCCTTAGCCATCTGATAAGCCAAGTTATTTCCTTTGGCTATAGAGGAGGTTCCTTTTTGATGTCCTAGGCAATGGATGATGGCCAATCTTTTAGGCAGCCAGAGTGCTTGGAGCAGTTGCAGAATTTCTTTAGTTCTGATGGCTTTTCCTTCAGCAGTGAGCAGGCCCCGTTCTTGGTAAATAGCACCATGTACTATGGCAAAGCGTACCTGCTATCCATGTAAACATTGACTGCCAAGTCCTTTCCCAAAGTTAAGGCCTTGGTCAAGGCCATCATCTCAGCTTTCTGTGCAGAGGTTCCTGCAGGAAGAGACTGGGACCAAACTACTTATGTTTCTGTAGCTATTGCTGCTCTTGCTTTTCTCTGGCCTTCATGGATGAAACTGCTCCCCGTCCGTGGTCCGTGTACCAAGTGTGATTGGCCCCAGTGACGGCAGGCTGAAGAAGGCATCCTTCAGGTCTAGGACGGTATACCAGTCTCTTCCGGGTGGTAGGGAACCCAGCAAAGTGTATGGGTTAGGTACAGAGGGGTGAATGTCCATCACCCGCTGGCTGACTTCCCTCAAGTCCTGGACTGGCCGATAGTCATTTGAGTTAGGCTTTTCAGGCAACAGGGGGGTATTCCAGGCAGACTGACAAGGCCTGAGAATCCCAAGGTTGAGTAATTTACAGATGGGAGGGGTTATTCCCCTTTTTGCTTCCAGGGACATTGGTACTGGCACACCCGGGTGGATCTGCCCCTGGCTTAAGCTCCACAAACACTGGTGGCCAGCCAGTCCCTCTACCTCAAGAGCTACCCTGGGTTCAGGGAGGGGTCCGTACCCCCTCCCTTTTAATCACTATCTCCTTCAGCAAACATGACTCTGGGCTTGGGTCTTTTCTTTGAGCATTGCCTTGCTCAATGGCCCTCCTCTTTACAGTAAGCACACTGATTCTTACCTAACGGCGTTCCATGTCTTCCCTCCGGGCTTTTCCCACTAGCAAGTTGTTGGAGCTGCCGCTTTCTTTCTCTGGGCTCAGCTGTCACAGCCAGAAGTACTTTAGCCAAGTTCGTATTCTGCCTCTTTTATGCCTTAGCCTGCTTTTCCTCTGGGCTATCTCGGTTATTGTAAACCTCCTCTGCCAACTAAATCCCTCAGTGACTTTTCTTCTAATCTTTCTTGTTTTTGTAACTTCTTCTTAATATCTGGTACTGACTGGTTAATGAAAGCCAGGGCCACTGATGCTTTTTGGTCAGAGTGTTCAGGATCATAAGAAGCATAACATCTGTAAGCCTCCATGATCCTCTCTAGGAATGCCGCTGGGCTTTCATTAGGTTCCTACCTGACATCATACACCTTTGCCAAATTAGTGGGCTGTCTGGTGGCCATTTCGAGACCTGCCCACAGTGCCTGGTGGTAAACCAGGAGACACTCCTTACCTTCACCTGTGTTGTAATCCCAAATGGGACCAGTAAGGAGAAAGGCTGCATCTACTGTGGCTGGGATCTGTATTCCCCAGAACATTTTTCGAGCCTCTATAAGAATGTGTTCCCTCTCTTCTGTGGTGAAGAGAACCTGAAAAAGCTGTTGACAATCATCCCAAGTGGGTTGGTGAGTAAACAAGACAGTTTCTAAAAGGTTAATTAGTTGTTTCGAGTTTTTGGAAAAGGAGCATTTTATGTCCTCCAGTTATACAGGGCTGTGGTAGCAAAGGCCAATAATGGTGAGGTTGATTGCCATGCTGATCTGTCAGCCCTGTTGCCCATAGGGGAAGAACAGTAGAGTCTGCTTCCTCCCCCCCATCCTCAGGGGACATGTTGCGCCTACTCCTTGTGCCCCACACGGGTCCCTTCCCTCTCCTGGAGTTGATGGCGTTGAGAGGGTGGTGGGGTTGGCGCTGGTGCTGGCACCGGTTGTTCTTCATTGCCCAGTGGTGCAGGTGGAGAGGACCTGTAAGGTGAAAAAAAAAAAAGAGATCTTCTGGGGGGGACCCTACAAGACAGGGTAGAGAGGAGCTGTTGGCTTGGGAGTCTCTCACTTGCCCATTACCAGTGTTGGCACAGTTCCTGTTGACGAAGAACTGTTAACAGGAGGAGAGAGAAAAGTTTTAACACATAGAGGTGGGTTAACAATTAGGTCCTTCCAGACTGTAATAAAAGGGACCAGAACCATGTGCTTTCTGAAATACTTTGTCCTCTACTGCTAATACGGTAGAGAGATGGCAAGTTCCCTCTGGTGGCCATCTGACACTAAAAGTTGGCCGTTCTGAGCTGCAGTATGTGGTCATCCTTCTTTTTCTTACATACACTGAAAGGTTATGAGCCCTAACCCTAACTTCTTTGAAATGGGCCAGAACGAGATCAAGGGGGTGAGAGGTGGTCTGTCCCACAGCATCCATCACAGTCCAATACAACAAAGACACCCAAACACAAGGAACAAAATAGAAAGACAAACACAAATAAAGTAGACGCTCCGCAACTGGAAACAGAAATAGATCCAAAAGCTTGGACTCACAGACTCCTGCCGTGGAATCCGAAAACAGCACGGAGAGGAGAGTAACCGACAGTGAGGCTCTCCGTTCTCCACCAAAAATCTCTCCAACTGATGGGTGGGCTCTCAGTCAACCACCCCAGGGCCAATGACATCTCCCTGATCCCTGCGGCTGTAACTCTCCAGCGCATCCACTCTCAGCCACATCTTGCCACTTGTACAGTCAACTCGAGGCTTTTCAGAACCAAAAGCAAGCACAAAACACAGACACTGCACAGGGGCACTTACAGGCCGACACAAGACCCTCCTGTCGGGGTCCAGAGGGTCTGGGGGATCCCAGACGAGCTCCCAAATGTTATGCCCAGATCGTGAGACCCCCAAAAGACCACCTGGAACAGGAATCCGATGCAAACACAGGAGGGCTTAATTAAAGCTCAAGCTTGGGCTACCAATCGTCCCTGATGCAGCACTTCAGAAAGAGCAGCCCTCTTTCAGAAAGAACTGGAGCCTCAGGAAGGCAGAGTTTTTAAAGGAAGAAACCACAAGCAGGAATTCCAAGTCTTGGTATTATAGGACTGGGTAAGGTTGGGTAAGGGTTCAGCAAGAGAGGTGTCCTTTAAGTTGATTGGTTCAGACCACCTGTCCAAACCACAAGGTGGAACAGGTTATCTGTAAAAACATCTGTCCTGATTGCAGTTACTCATTAACACATTCCGTGGTATTTACTGGAACCTGAAGGGGGAGGTTAGGTCATCCTTAGGACAATCATCCTCAAGATGGAGTATGAGGAACAAAATGGGATTACTTTTAACTTCTTCATAGGTTAATGTGAGAAGCTAGCCCAAAAGAGACAGAGAGCCTACTGGGCAGAATTCTTAGAGGCAGACCAGGACTCCTGCTCTGTCATTTCCTGGAGATCAGAACAGGGGACCTTGACTAGGATGTCTGGGGCCCATGCAGGTCAGCAAGCGCAGGAGCAGATCACTGCAGTTCGCATGCAGTGTGGTGTGATTGATCTTCTATGCCTGGCTCTTTAAAGGATTCCCAGTTACTGGTCCACTGGGCCTTCAAGAATTCTTAGCCTTTGGAACTGCTTACCCTATGACCTCCAGCGTGGGCTATAAAAGAGCTAGCGGAGGCTGAGAAAAGAGATGAGGGAGAGAAGAAAGCAAGCGGTGCAGACCTACAGAAAGGAGAGAGTTGAACCAGGAGAAGCTGAGTTGAGCAGGTGGGCCAGAACAGTTGTTACAGTTTGGGGCCCCTAGTGTTGGGAAAACCGGAAGAAGAGACTGTTTAAGCACACTGTTGGGGAACTGAAGGAAGAACAGTGGGGGAAACGTTTGAAAGGGGCTGGTCTGGAAACTGGAAGGAACAGTTGGGGAAAATTAGATTCAGGGATCTCTATCTCTCCTCTCTATCCTTCTTTCTCTCCTATCTAGCTTTACTGAGTGAAACAAGGTGAGGGATAGAGGGTGGGAAAAGAAGAACCCACAAAGTAGCAAAGAACAAGCTTCAAGGCAGCGAAACAAACTCCCTTACCTTAGATGGCCTCCTGCCCTGGACTCCACCTAAAAACCAAGTGTTGATGCCCATGACCATCATGAACAGGAACCTCAAAAGGCCTCCTTTTTAATTTTTCAAATTGAAGGGTTTTTCTTTCCAAAGAGAACATAGATTTAGTAAGGAAAAAATTAGGAAAACTCCTGAGAGTGGGAAGAGTTACAAGGGGAGAGTATCTGTTCTTTAAATTTTGAGACAGGATCTTGATAAATTGTTCTTGCTGTCCTCAATCTCCTAGGATTTGGCCTGGCTTCAGAAGAACAGCGAGGTTTCCCACCCCCTCTCTCTTTCAGTCTTAGGTATCTAAATAAAGTTGGCCTTGAACTCCCTATGTATTCAATGATGATCCTGAATTATTTTTAGATTTACTTATGTGTGTGAGTGTTTTGCTGCATGCATGTGTGAATGTATCATTTGTGTACCTAGAGGATGTCCCTCAGAGTAGAGAAGGTGGCACTGACTCCCCTGGAACTGGAGTTAACAATTCTGAACCACCATGTGGGTGTGGGAACTGAACCTGCGTCCTCCACAAGAGCACAAAGTACTTTTAACTACTACGCCCATCTCTCCAGCCCTTCTGATCTTCCTTCCTCCATTCTCCAAGTTCTGGTATTAGATACCACCACGTCCGGTACTTTTCTAGCAATGACTCAGAGTCCTGTGCATGCTAGGCAAGCACTTTCACACTGAGCCCTATCCTTAACCCCTGTTGTTGTTCTGAGACAGGGTTTTACTTTGTAGCTGCATGCTGGCCTGGGGCTCACAGAAATCCTTCTACTGGGCAGGCAAGATGGCTAAGCAAGTAAAAGCACTTGCCATACAAGCTTGGCATACTGAGTTTGATCCCTGGAGTTCACAGTGGTGGTAAAGAAGCAGTTTTAAAAAGTTATCTTCTAACCTCCATTTGCACACTGTGGTATTCATATACTTACACTCACTCAAATACACTCATACACACCAAATACACATATCATTCTGTTTCTCTTTCTCTCACACACACACAGTAGAAATAATAAATAAGGAGCCAAGTGTGGTGGTAAACACCTTTTATCTCAGCACTCAGGAGGCAGAAGCCTATGAGTGCAAACCCATCCTGGTCTACATAAAACCCTATATCAATAAAATAATAATCTTCATTTTCCACAGAAATTGTTTCTGTCCTTTTCACAGCCTTCTTCCCTCCTTTATATTTCTCCCACTATGTGGGCTCAGTCCCTTTCAATGACAGACATGCCTGCCAGTCCACTCAGCGGAGGAGGGGTCAACTGAGGTTCGTTCCTGCTCTGCACTGTCTAGCCGACAGCCTCTCGTTGCTCGGTTTCCTCACTACGGTACTGTAGACTGCCCTGGGATTCCGACAACAGGAGCAGCACCAGATGTCTCCATACTTCCCAAGTGTCCAAGATTAAACCAAGGCAACTGGGTAAGTTTTAGAAGTCTGGTCACATCTGTACATATTTGACATTCCCCGCTGTGGCCTGTATACCAAATCAACTTGGGGTTTCTAAGTGATAAAACCAGTATTTGTAATCTTTTGTCAAATGCAGCTCTTCTTGGGGTCAGCTCAGCTTCCCAAACTAAACGTGAAGACAGAGATGAAGTAGTTCTCCTAGACAGTATGTACTCCAGACAGGAACCCTGCAGTCTATGCCCTCTAAAGCTGTGTCGTTGTCCTCCATCTTTTCCAGACCAGTAGAGATAGGATGCTCTATAAGTAGGGCCCTTATGAGTACTGAGGTCATTGGCTTGTCTGATGAGTTTAAAAGATAGAAAAGATTCAGGAAAAAAAAAAAAAAAAGTATAGAGAGAACTAGGGTCAAAGAACAAAGTAGGAGGTTGGCAATCTCCAGGAAACTGGGAACTACTGTTATTCTGACACCTGTCTCTAGTCAAAGTGACACTGATAACATACACCCCAGATTTGGGAACACATATCCTCATATTCAAACATAAGAACAAGAACGTTCACAGGGAATTTACAAGAGCCTTAAACTAGAAATAACCAGTGCACATCAGCAGAAAAACAGATAAGACCACAGGTCTAGTGGTGGTATGATTTTACAATGGTCCAGGAGACAATTCAGTTAAAACAAAACAAAACAACAACAACAAAAAACTGAGGATGTATTTCTCAAACATAATGTTAGTAAAATGTGACAACTTGCCAGGTGGTGGTAGATCAGGCCTTTAATCCCAGCACTCAGAAGACAGAGGCAGGCAGATCTCTGTGAGTTTGAGGCCAGCTTGGTCTACAGAGTGAGTTACAGAACAGCCAGGGCTACACAGAGAAACCCTGTCTTGAAGAAAAGAAAGAAAAAGAAAGAAAGAAAGAAAGAAAGAAAGAAAGAAAGAAAGAAAGAAAGAAAGAAAGAAAGAGAGAGAAGAAAGGAAAAGGAAAGCATGATAACCAAGGGTACATGTCATAAGATGGTCCAGTAGTGGACATGGCAGCCCATGCCTGGAATCCCAGCACTCAGAAGCCTAGGGCAGGAAGACTGCCTAAAGTTCCAGACCAGCGCGGGCCAGAGTGAAAATGCTGTCTTTGAAAAACACAAAACAAAGAAAGCAAAAGGGCTTGGAGGTGTAGCTCATTGATAGGCTTGCCTGGCGTGCACAAAGCCCTGGTCAGTGGTCAGTACTGAATAAACTGGACATGGAGGCTCATCATGTATGTAATCTCGGCACTTGGGAGATAGAGACAGAATAGAAATTCAAGGCCACCCTCGGTTAACAATGAATTAAAGCTGGCCTCAGTTATATAAAACCCTGTCTCAAAACAGACAGACAGGGACGGTAAGATGGTACTTGTAGCCAAGCCTAACGACTGGAGTTGGATACCTAGGTGGAAGGAGAGAACTGATTCCTGCAAGTTGACTTCTATATGCTAATGGCATGGGCACAACAGGTACCAAATTTAAAAACAAACACCAGTGATAGTAGTTTTCAAAAGATCATGTGTATGTGTATGTGTTACCGTTGTTGAAACAGGGTTCCTCTGTGTAGCCCTCAAGTGTTCTGAAACTTGCTTCATAGACCAGAATGGCCTTATAGAGATTCACCTTGCCTCTGTCTCCTGGGCCTGGGGTTAAAGGAATGTATCACCATGCTGGACCATTCGGTTCTTTGCACCTTTATGGGAACTCACAACAGCCTGTAACTCCAGTTCCAGGGATCTGACTCCTTCTGGCCTCCAAGGTCACCACAAATGCAGGCAAACACTTATATGCATAAGATAAAAAATAAATCTTCAAAAATATGTATTTTTAATTATGTGTGGGTATGTGCATGTGTATGTAAGTATCCATAGAGGCCAGAAGGCCACCAATCATGAGCCTTGGAGCTGGTGTTACAGGCAACTGCCCAACTTGGGTGCTTGGAAACTGAACTCAGGATGGTCTGCAAGAGGAGTGAAGAACCAGCCTGCCTACATCTTAAGCTTAAAAACCATCATATAGCAAAGACAAGTTAGGTGTATTCCTGTTTATGATTAAACCTCTGTTTCTTGAGGATTGGGCTATGCCCCACCTGTAACCTTAACTACAAATGTTCTGTACTTTCTGTTCCAGGAATGGTAATCATGTCTTTGTCACAAAAAGTTGTTTATAACCATCTTGCAACCCTACCTTTGTTTCAAAAGGTTATATGACAACCTATGACTATCTTGTTAGGATCGCCTGTAGTTATGAGTACCTTGTTAAGCTCACCTTGCAACCATATCTTTGTTTCAGAAGGTCTTTAGGGCTAACAAGTATGCTTATGTCCAGCTCCTGTCTGACAAATCCCCCATTTGCAAATTCCCTACCACTAAAGCTTTATAAAAACCTTGTTTTCCTCACATCCAATGCTGACCTCTCAAATCCCGCCTAAAGGGGAGGCAGCCCTTGTACACAAATTAAAAAGTTTGCTTTAATTAAATGTCTGCTTTGATTAATTAGGCCATGATGATTTGGGTTAGTGGTCCTCTCATCTTTGGGATTAACAAGTACAATCTTTAATCACCATTCCTCTAGTACAAAGGTAAGAATTTTAAAAGGATAATCTAGAACATCTTTTTATATATATTCGAAGTCAGAAATGTGATTGAGGGCTGGAGAGATGGCTCAGAGGTTAAGACCACTGGCTGTTCTTCCAAAGGTCCTGAGTTCAATTCCCAGAAACCACATGGTGGCTCACAACCATCTGGTGCCCTCTTCTGGCCTGCAGGCACACATGCAGGCAGAATACGGTATAAATAATAAATAAATAAATCTTAAAAAAAAGAAAGGAATGTGCTTGAGGAGGGATATTCGTTATTGACCGGATGGTAACATAAGGAGACTTTTGTGAAATACTGAAATTATTTTATATCTGATACTTGAATGTACATGCAAGACTTAAACCCACCATTGTATATTATGCCTCAATAAAAAGTATTAGTTGTTGATGAGGACAATAAAAGAGACCAATTGCTGAATATCATACTGTAGGCAATGTCCTTGTGGATCCCAATCCCATTGCTTTGCCATCACTGGTTCACATCACTTCAAGGTACGGGGAAACCGCTTTTGAAGAACCGAAAGTGAGGATGAGAGTCCTCTCAGGAAAGGAAGTTCCAGGCTGGCTCCAAAGACTGAAAGGGACTCTGGGCCAGCGCACGTCTAAGGCGCCTGAGTGACTGCGCGCGGTGCAGGCTGCGCCTCCCGCCTCGTTCCTTGAGGATAGCCCCGCCCAACCAAGACGGCCAGAAGAGGCGGCCAATCAGCAGCCAGCCTGGCCGGGGGTCACTGACCTGGAGTCTCCGTCACCTAGGCTGACCGCCGGTTTCCAATGAGCGAGCGGCCCCGCGGCAATCCGCGACCGGCCGCCTTCCGTCCCGTGCCCTCCGCAGCGCGCAGCGTTTCCGCAGCGAACGCTCTACCCTCGCCGGTTGGCGCCGCGCCAGCCAATCATCGCGGCGTCGGGGCCGGGCAGCCAATGGCTGTCGGGGTCCGTGCGACGGTTGCCGCTGTGCGCCAAGCCGCTCGCTGGAGGCGGAGATGGATTGGCGCAGACAGGGCCCAATGGGCGGTGCGCGCGAGGAGCAGAGCCAGTGAGCGTCTCGGAGGCGGGGCGGGCTCCGCGGCGGGCGGCTGCGAGGAGCAGCCGGTGGTGGCGGCGGCGGCGGCGGCGGCGGCTGCGGGTAGCGGCGGCGGCCAGCGGTCGGCCATGGCGGAGGCAGAGGCCGGCGGCGACGAGGCGCGCTGCGTGCGGCTGAACGCCGAGCGGGCCAAGGCGCTGCTGGCCGACGTGGACACGCTGCTGTTCGACTGCGATGGCGTGCTGTGGCGCGGCGAGACGGCTGTACCGGGCGCGCCGGAGACTCTGCGGGCGCTGCGGGCCCGCGGGAAGCGGCTGGGCTTCATCACCAACAACAGCAGCAAGACTCGCACGGCCTACGCGGAGAAGCTGAGGCGCCTGGGTTTCGGCGGCCCGGTGGGGTCCGAAGCGGGCCTCGAGGTGTTCGGCACGGCCTACTGCTGCGCGCTGTATCTGCGCCAACGCCTGGCCGGCGTGCCGGACCCCAAGGCCTACGTCCTGGGCAGCCCGGCCTTAGCCTCCGAGCTGGAGGCCGTGGGTATCAATAGCGTGGGCGTGGGCCCCGAGCCGCTGCACGGCGAAGGCCCAGGCGACTGGCTGGCGGCGCCGCTCGAACCCGACGTGCGCGCGGTAGTGGTGGGCTTCGACCCATACTTCAGCTACATGAAGCTCACCAAGGCGGTGCGGTACCTGCAGCAGCCCGAATGTCTGCTCGTGGGCACCAACATGGACAACCGGCTCCCGCTGGAGAACGGCCGTTTCATTGCGGGTCCGTGCGCCCAGGGGCTGGAGGTTGGAGGGCGGGCCCAGCCCTTCCGTGTCCTCTGACCCCCGCGTCCCCTTCCCTCCCTCGCTCTACAGGTACCGGCTGTCTGGTGCGAGCCGTGGAGATGGCCGCCCAGCGCCAGGCGGACATCATCGGGAAGCCTAGCCGCTTCATCTTCGACTGCGTGTCCCAGGAGTATGGTATCAACCCGGAGCGCACAGTCATGGTGGGAGACCGCCTGGACACAGACATCCTCCTGGGCGCCACCTGTAGCCTGAAGACTATCCTGACCCTCACCGGAGTCTCCAGTCTTGAGGATGTGAAGAGTAATCGGGAAAGTGACTGCATGCACAAGAAGAAAATGGTCCCTCACTTCTATGTTGACAGCATAGCCGACCTCTTGCCTGCCCTTCAAGGTTAAAGATCTAGTGTCTTTAATCTGGAATAAAAAAAGAATGAAAATCAGTTACCTAAATTAATAGGTGGGGCGTAGGAATCGCTCAGTTAGCTGGCTGCAGGTTAACTGAGGTTAAGCAAAGGCAGTAGTTAATCTTGTAAGTGAACGTTGGGGGGTGTTGTTTACAGATGATTATATTTTAAGATGCACTTTTAAGCTGGGAAGGCATTGTGGGGTGGGCCCTGGGCTTTGTATATGTTGGCAGGGGTGGGCATAGCATCTGCCCAGCATTCAGGTAACCTCGGGCCCTGTTCTTGATTCTAAAGTGGGTACGAGTTGTGTGTCAGGCTTTTTACTGAAAAATGTATTCAGGGATCAGGCCCTTAGATGGGCACAGAGCGGGGAAAGGAGGGACTTTTAAAAGACCATTTGTGCAGACCAAAAACTTGGTCCCCCCCCCCCCCAGTGTTCTGCAGCAGAGGAGCCTGGTACTGTGCCCCAGTTCCTTGTCTGCAGGGAGGGGATGAAGGAAGCGGCCCTCAACCTCCACTCACCCAAGCTTTCTAGAAAAGCACTTCGATACCACAATTGCCTGTTTGAGATGCCCAGCGCTACTACATGGCCCCTTCTGCACTGCTGCACATTAACAGCAGCTCCGCTAAGCTTTGGCTGCCTGGGTATCGGTGCTCCCTCTGCTATCACTTCCACTCCTAGCTGCAGGGAGCACTCCTCCTAACTGACCGAAACTTAAGTACAGCCTTTTTGGTCCTGCTGGAGGTGGTGATCCTACCCTGTACCGACATCTGTTCTGATTTTTTGCCCACCCTGAAGTTTATACCCAGGCGTCTCACTGAGTGTGGTCGGCTGAGCAGCCAACTGGGTATGGTTGCCTGCCCTGAAGTGCATGCTGCTGTACAGGGAGCTCAGAACAGTATTTATTTTTCAAGTTTCTTAAGCTAGTGAATGACATTGTCAAGTGTGGAATTGGATCTTAAGTGTGTGGATGAATCCCACTTAAGAACTCTCATGCCCCGGTGAGCAGCATAGCCAATGTGCAAGCCAAGGATTGCCTTGTTTCCAAGAGTGTCCTCTAGGTAGGAAAGAAGGAGGAGTCCTGAGAATAGTTAAGTTTAACAGAGCATCCAACCTCCCTTGCGTAGGTCACTTAGGGTTGTGGATGGGTTAGATGTCAGTGCTCCATGAAGCCACCTATTTCTGTCTAGTGGTGGTCCACCGGCCAGTTGGCTTCTCAGCATCTTGGCCTTTCCCTCTGTTCTACAAGTCCCTGACCTTTAGCAGTCTGCTGAGCAGGCTGGGAAATGTTCATGGGGCACACCCAGGAAGCTGTTCCTTTTGGCTAATTCCTTCCTGGCACCTTGCCCTGTACCAAGTGGCTACTCTCATGATCACAGCACTTCACCTATTCACCAAGTTCCCAGAGCAATAAAAGGTATCCCAAGCCCAAACCTGCCCACAGGTCAGTGGTGGCTGGGAGTTTAATGGTGCCATAGTTCAGCCAGAAGGCAGCAGTGCGTTGGTGGTGCTGATCCTCCGGGTCTGAATGAGCAGACCCACACAGTAGCACTTGGCAGGTAAGCCGTCAGGGGTGCCCCCCTCTTGAACTGGGCAGTAGAACCCGTATGTTACATTTCTAGCTTGTTTCACTGTGTGAACTCAAATGCACATTAAACTCTCAAACCCAGACTAACCAGGTCTGCCTTCCTCTGCTTTCTTTGAGTAGCAGTTGTCTAGCTATAGCAAGGCAAGAGAACTTAATGCAAGCTAGGAGTCCAACTCCACTATCCTAACAGAGTGGCCGTGACCACTGCGGCCCCACCCTGCTTGTGAGGAACAGGTCCTGAAGAAACAGGAAGTGCATGGCATAAAACCAAAGTAGAATAAGGCCACTGGGTGAAGTGTAAAGGAAGTATATACAGCTGAGCCACTGTGTTACACAGCTAGACAGATAAGGGACCAAAACAACATGCTAGGGAACAGGCTGGCTCAGCCATCCTCGATGTGCAGCAAGCTGTTTGGCCATGGTCTGCCCTGGAGCCCACTTGGTCATGCACAGCCCCATCTGATGTTAATAGGGTCTGGAAAGAGGCTTGAGTTTGTGGGGAAGGTAAGAAAGTAATTAGCCTCATGCTGATGGTTTATATATATTTATTGATGGTTCCTGTGTGTCCAGAGGTAACAGAAAAAAAAAGTCTGCCCAACCAGACAATCATCCTGGCCAAGACCCAAACAGTTGTTCTGACTTCCTACGAAGGCCAGGCTCTCACCCTCTAAAACCTCCAGTTCTGCACAGGCCAAGGGTTCAGAGACAAGCCTGGAGACCAGCAATCAAGTGGGGGAGAGGGCTGTCCTGGCTCTGACACGGGATATCAGATACTGGCCGGGAAGGAAGCAGAGGAATTGGGAGGGGAGGACTCAGTTTGATTCATCAAAGGCGTCCTGAGGTTCCCCTGGCTGACTCCTCCAAGGGGCTGCAGACAATCAGTGCATTGTCAGCAGGGGCTGCAGCATGAAGCAAGGGCACATCCACACCGAGAGCCTCAGGGCCAGGCCTGTTGAGGTAAGTGTCTCTACCACCCCCAAGACAAGACAGGGAGGCCATAGGAGGGGAGCGTCACCAGCCACCCTCCTCAGCCCCTTCCCTGAGCAAGCAGGCTCCCTGGTCTCCAACCTGGACGCCCCACTGACCATAACGTGCCCTCAGGTGAAGACTAAGCCCTGCCATAGGGGCTGGAGAGCAGCAGGCCTGCTGCTACTGCTGACACTGGTCACTGCAGGGGCCATGGCTGGAGGGCTTCTTGGCTTCATGTACAGCCCTCCCAAGGTGAGCACCTCCTCAAGCCCAGGGGGATACAGAGTGTAAAGTGGGCTGGAAGGCCAATACCTGTCAGCCTCGAACGGGGCTGGGTCTAAACACTGGCCTTGAGCAGATAGTAAGAGAACCAGAAGGAACAAAGGCCAACTCGGGTGATGGAAACACAGGTTGGGGCTGAATCCCAAATATCCCTCAGCCGTTACTGCAGATGCTCCGAAAGACCTTCCCAAGCTCTAGGGTACCCTGGCCCAACCAAACCATTCTAGTGGACGTGGCCGTGAACATGGCGACTATCGTGGTGACTCCGCTTCAGAGCAACCAAAGCTGGGCCGTGCTGTTCGACGGGCAAAGTGTGAGTGGGCTTGGGAGGGGGAAAGAGTGGAAGTGTCAGGTGAGGCCTTGACTTACCTATCTGTCCCCAGGGCTACATCTGTTACCGCCCCGCAGAGCACCGGGCCTGCTTCCTCCGTCTGATGGAAGCCCAAGACTGGGAGACCCTGCGGCTGCTGGTGAACACTTCCAGGGTGAGCAGTACTGCTTGGCTTACCCCCCACCCACCCCCAAGGCCAGGGGACGAACAAAAGGTCCTCTGTACAGCCCAGCTGGGCCAGCCAAGGCTCTGGTTTCAGGGGAACAGAAAGCCCTATCTTCCCCTGACTGAAGCTGTTGACAAGAGCAGGTGGAAGGGCCATCAGGCTGGGGTGGGACATGAATGCCCTATGCTGTGAGGATCAAGGAAGTACTATATGGTGGCCCACCAGAGTCTTTCTGCAGGCCCAAGAGTCCCATGAGCCTGGCCAAGACACCCACTATGCTCAGGAACTGGTGGCAGTTTTGGGGGGCCATACTGTGGACCCTGCCCAAGTGGGAGCTTCAGTGCAGCAGCTTTGTGCAGACACCCCCATCTACTGGGCCCGGCGAGCAGAGGGTAAGTTGGGGTGGGCTGAGTGAAGAGGACTATGGCTCCTGCAGGACAGCACTAGGTGGGAGCCCTTGGGACTCATGAACTTCCCTTCTCCCCAGGACCCCAGCGACAGCGGCTGATCTACCTCTGCATTGACATCTGTTTCCCGAGCAACATTTGTGTGTCCATCTGCTTTTATTACCTCCCAGACTAAGCCCCCTACCAAGCCCTCCTGGCCTTGGTCCCACAGGTCAACAAGCTGGCCAGGTCACCAGCACCAGTGAAAGGCAGCTGACAGTAGGGACAAATAAACCCAGATTACCTGGCCATGGTGGTGATTTCTGGGGCCTCAGAACCTGGACAGGGGTAGGGAGGGGCAAGTGGGGTTACATACCTGGGAAACAGGCACCAGCCTCAGATCTCAACAGTTCCAAGTCCTCTGAGTCTACCCTCTCTAAAGGCGGAAAAGACTCCCAGTCCAGGCACATGTAGCCTGGCTCACTACGCCTTCTGACAACAAACTGGAGAGAGTCCCTGGGTACAGTGGCCAACAAGTCTAGGTTGGCCAAGAGGGCCCAGAGGTGGTCTGCTCAGGTCTAGCTGGCCTGACATGCAGAGGCTGGCCTGAGAGCCTCACTTAGACCAGGGTATTGCTCAGGTACATCCACTTAGAGCCACTAGACCAGGCAGTCCTGATTGTCCAATGCAGCTTCCAGGGGCAGAGGCTAGCCCAGCACACTGTCATTGAAGGCCAGGCAGACGACAGCTTTCTGATGGCCACCATACTCTCTCTTGATCTCTCCAGTCTCTACACACCAGAGCCGGGCAAGGTTGTCAGAGGAAGCTGCAAGGAGGGATCAGGCGGCAAAGAAGCAGCAACAATGAGTGACCTCTTTAGAGGCCTAGGCAATGTGGGAGAGATAGGAGGGCAGGACTCACCTGTGACAATGTACTGGGAGTCCCCTGAGAAGGCACAGCCCCACATCCAGCCACGGGATGACTCGCCAGGGTTACTACTCTTGATGCTGAGCTCTGTCATCAGGGAGAAATTGGACGTCCTCCAAATTTTACATGTCTGGTCCGCTGAACAGGTGGCAAGAAGCCTGGGGTTGGACATGGGGTGTCTCAATACTTACCGCTTACCACATAAGTATCCTTTTACCATATACCAGGCAGTACCCCCAGCCTGTAAATCCCCTCTTCCCAGCACTCTACACGCACGTGGAGTCGGGGCTGAAGCGGCACTGCAGGGCATAGCGTGTGTGGGCTGGGATCTTGGTCTTGGGGATGAGCTGAGTCACCTCGTCACCAATGCCTCCTGTCAGGTTCCAGACATAGCAGTTTCCCTATGGAACAGAAGGGCAGCCATTCAAAACCAAGACCCCCAGATACACATGGGCCAGGGTAGGCAGGGATGGCATCTTGGGTCATGTCCAACCAGCCAAAAGCAGAAGGCCACACTAAACACAACTCCCTAGAGACTGGAGACTGCTGCTGGCCAACAGAGACGCGCAGGAGGGGAGACAGTAAGGAGGGCACCCAGATAGATGATGTGACAAGCCCAGGCTGGGAGGAGGGAACGCAGGTATGTGCAACAACTGATGTTTGGGGACTTAAAAGGAGAAAATGAGACTGGAGATGAGGCAGGGACCAAACTGAATCATCCTGCTGTCCATGAGAAGGAGACGGAGCTTCTTAAGATCTCAGAACAGTGCAGCCTGCCAGAAAGGCTAAAGGATCCTTCTACAATTGAAGAACAGATCAGACATCCCAGTAAGGCCACAGAGAAGCTTATCAGTATCAAGGGAGATCAAAGTCATGGGCTGGAACATGAAAGGAGGAAATAACTGGCCCTGACAAACACTGGTTGAGGTGTCTAGCCTGATGGGTGACAGCTATGGCAGACAGCAAGGTGAACATCAGGAATGGTTCCCAGGTGCCTGACTTTGGGAGCTGGATGGAAGCTTAGAGAGGCCTGAGAGACAACGGGAGTCAACTCTTCTGCAGAGGATAAGGAGCAAGGTGCTGAGATGCCCCTGTACCCAATCCCAGCACTCACAGCACTATTGACTGCCGCCATGTAGCTGGCATCCGGGTCAATGTGGGCAGACGTGATGGAATACTCGGGCTCGGGGATCAGCTGCTCGTTGTGGTCTGTCTTCAGGTCCCAGATGTGGATGGCACCGCTCTGGTCACCCACAATGAGTTCTGCCTGGGATGTAGTGGAGGTGAGATGTGACAGTAACCCCGCCCTCCAAAGCCCCCAGGTACCTGGCCCCATGAGTACTCCTCACCTGGTTGGGATGCAGACACACGCAATTAATGGGTGCATTCACTTGGAAGATACGCTGACACTGCAGGTTCCGGGACCTGTGGGGAGTGAAGGTGACGCGTGCTGTCTAATGTACATTATTTGTGCCCCACCAAAAGCCCCCATTCTCTGCTAATAGTTGCCTCTACTTTAGAGGGAATGCTTGTGAAGTTTGGCTCTTTCCCCACAAGCGGCAGCGTGAGGCCAGGGAAGAAGGGTTGAAAGTCTCAAGGCAGGGTTGCCCCTTTGATATAATGTAATTCTATTCTGCTTTTCTTCTTCCCTCAATTACCCAGTCAAAGCCCCCTTGCTTACTTAGTCTGTTTGTAAAGTAACCTGCCCAAAGACAATCCCCTGGCCCCATCCCCTCCCCAAGCAGCCACCCTCTCCAGCCCAGCACGAAGCACCTGAGGTCCCAGATGCGAGCTGTGCAGTCCTCCCCGCCTGTGTACATCCAGCGGCCATCCTCGTGAAAGCCCACCGACGCAATGTTCTTATTGACTCCATCGTAACTGATGACGGGGTTGGGGTTATTGGAGTTGAGATCATACATGCGGATATGTTGGTAACCTAGGGACACAGGCTGAAATGAAGCACGGGCACCAGGGAGTCCTGCCGCCAGTAAAGGAGCCAGAGGCCAAGAATCTCAGGTACCTGCAG